CACCCACAATAAAGCTATACACCATAACTAGGTATTGAATATATGTCATCCTCGCCATCTATATGAATCGAACTGAGACCTCCTCCAACCAACTGGATAATTAGTCCATTCATAAGTTCACTTTATCTTCAACTATTTTGAAATTAGGTTTATCTTCAACACACTTATTTACGTTTGTCTTATATTTCCTACTTCATCTAGTTGCCTACTTTAAGCTGAGTAATGTCACATCCGCACACTCCTAAAAGAACAAAAAGTTTTGCGTTGACTCTTAAGGCTGAGAGATTTGTAGGTGAATAGGGTTTTTGTTTGGCTTTGTGTTTGTAATTTGAGGGTTAGAGAGTGAAGTGTTGTCAAATTGCCTTAAAAGAAGTATAGGTAAGTGGAAGTAGCAGTCAGCAATTACCAGAACATGAACGTTAATTGTTGTTTTTATGTGAGTGCAGGATGATCTCGATTGCCGTATTAAATTATTGGTGACTAGTATTCTAAAAGAGAAGCAAAGCCAGAAGTTTAGCTAAAGATTACAATAATTATGAACCCAAAATCATTATTGGTGTTTGGGCACACTCCAAAAGGAATGTGGGCCATATCCAACCTCAAATTGGTCCACGACCAAACCCTTATAAATGTGTGCTACGTGGATGAGAAGAGGTGCATGAGATCAGCATGAAGTGGGATGATGAAGTACACCTAATTTTTTATTATTATTTTGTTTATACCAAAATGCAAAAATTCAATATGAATAAATACATAATTGGATGAATGTGGCACAGCCACTCACTCTTATTGCAGGCTTGCAGCTGCTTACTGTACAAACAAGTCTTTACTTTATTTATTATTATTATTATTATTTTTCGAGTGATACATGAAAATAAGGGCGGAACCACACTTAGACTAAGATGGACGAGCCCAGTGCAATTTATAGAACTTTAACAATTTTGATGCTAATTTTGTAAAGAAATCGATCTTAGCAAGTGAAAATTTGGCAACCCCACCCTTGTAATAATTGATTGTCTACACTCGAACATCTCTCTTATACAAAGTCATTTAACCATTCATATATATAGACACAAGTCGATTGAAAATTTCTAACTCCGCCGTTGCATAAATAGGTCCTTTGGCCGCCGCCTTGCATATTGAAAGCACTTTATCATCAATCAAACCATCAACTCCACATTTCTGATGAAAACCCACCTTCTTTTTCACGTCACTCACTCACTCACTTTTTTCTTTTTCTAAACTATTTCTCTCTCTCTCTCTCTCTCTCTCTCTCTCTCTCTCTCTCTGCTTTATCGCTTAGCTATAAGTATCACCTTCAGCTAAAACTTCGTTTACACGCGAATCATCCAAAGCCTACCTATATACTGCGTTCTTCTTTCTTCTTCTTCTTTGTTCTTGTTGTTTTATTTTTATTTATTTTTATTATTTGTTAGTTTTTGTTGTTTGTTTTTATGATCTTGGGTCGAACGTAATGGGAGATGACCAGTTTAAGCTCCCTCCTGGTTTTCGATTTGACCCGACGGACGAAGAGCTTGTAGTTCATTTCCTTCAACGTAAGGCAGCTCTCTTACCTTTCCATCCCGACGTCATTCCCGATCTCCATCTCTACCCATACGATCCATGGGAACTAGATGGTATGCACCTACCATATAGTCCTTCACTACTATATTAATGCTACTAAAAAATCTCTTGGCGTTGCCTTAATTTAATTAACTTATGTATTAATTTCATGATGTTTGATATTTAATTGCCGCCCTTTTATGCATATCCTATTTTCTTAGACAGACACTTGTGCACTTACATATATAACTGAAATGAGTAATCGACATACTAATACTAGTACGTACATATTGCACACATAAGTAGGGTACTATTCTCTTGTCGAACTACTTATGTTGTCAAAACAATTGTTTATTGTATGAACTGTGAATATGGACCACACATATTCAAGTAAAGTTTCACATGACAAATGGTGTACAGATTAAATCTGACAGCCTAAATCTTGGGTTGCCAAATTGTATGATAAGAGAGAATGTTTATGCGTATATAAGTATCTTGATCTGTGCACTGTATGCATATATAAATGTATAGGTAAGGCTCTACGTGAGGGAAATAAGTGGTACTTCTACAGCAGGAGGACGCAGAATCGGGTTACAAGCAATGGGTATTGGAAGGCACTAGGCGTTGAGGAACCAGTGATCACAAGAAGCTCTTGTAATTCTACACACAAAGTTGGGATGAAAAGATATTTGGCTTTTTACGTAGGAGAAGCTCCAAATTCAGGCATCAAAACTAATTGGATAATGCATGAGTATCGTCTCTCTCCACTCTCAGCAGGAGATGGACCTTCTTCTTCTTCCACCACAACAAGATCATCATCCAAAAGAAGAGGGCATCTCAAAACAGTTAATAATGCATGTCTCAATCACTACTTATAATGACGTTATTTTATCTATTTGATTTAATTAGTCATTTCACTCTATGACATGGTACCATGCGTGGCAAGTCATGTACTTTATTTATCACGTCATCAAGTAAAATAATTGCGTAGATATGATATTTTTCTTACATATGCATGCCAAAAACAAAAAATAAAAAAGAAAGGAGAATGTGCATGACATAAAATAAATGGAGTTTTATTGATATTTTGGTTTACAAATTTTCTCAGGAATTTAGTGGATATGTTCTCTGTCGAGTCTACGAGCGTGATGAAGATGACGACGACGATGATGGGACAGAGCTTTCATGCTTGGACGAGGTGTTCTTATCTTTGGATGACCTTGATGAAATAAGTTTGCCAAATTAATTAGCATAGAGAGAGAGAGAGAGAGAGAGAGAGAGAGAGAGAGCTAAGTGCTCCCTTATTATGAATTAGCTTTATCCCAATTGTACAATTTCATTACTGGAGTAATGAACAAATTCAAGTGGGTTTCACTTATATGTTGTACTCTAACAAAATATGTTATGAGTAGTTTTGAGAATTCCGATCCACACCATCCAATACATGGAGCTTCCCTGGATGTTTATTCCAAAAGTGACGTATATATTGAGCTGAAACACAAAAGCTACATGTATGTTTTACATATATATTCATATTTCTCACTAAAATGAGACTTAGCTAGGTTTTATCCTGACGTATGATTTGATCAATAATGTATTTAATAAATGTGGGACAACAATACGTATTCAATAGTTAATGATGGAGAGGCTCCTAAGAACTTTCAATTCTTCCCTTCCTTATTGATTAAAAAATATCCAATAGTTATGTTCGTTCTTCAAAAATAATTTAGTTATGTGTTATATGAGAAAAGATGTATACAACTAAGTAATTTTTATATTAAATATATTATCACGTGAATTCATATACTATAACACGTATATACTGTAACACTTCAAATAATAACATCCCTTAACAGTTTCGTAATACCACTCAATAATTTCTTGTATATTACTGTAGAATTTTCTCTTTTCTTCCATTGTCCATGACAGGTGTTAGAAGTTGACTTGAGCTTATGTTGCATAGAAATTTGGTGCACTTGAGATCTGGTAGTTTTGGTCCTCAGCCTTTGTTGGAACTTGGGATGCTCACGTGTATAAATTATTGTGAGGAGGATAAACGTGAGGGATGAATGTGGAGCCCAGTGGGCACTGTAATGTGTAAGTTTGCAGCTAAGAGGCATTGAGCATACCTCAAAAACTCTTCTTTTTCCTTTTTCTACTTTTATGGCATTGGAGTGTAATATTTTGCACAATGCCAAGCCACAATTGGTATTTTTGGGTGGCCGCTTAGGGCAGCATGACTCATACGTGATGCTAGCCAGCATTCGCATGCTCCATTCTGATTACATACTATAGTAATGGAAAAGAAGTTTTACAGTTTGTAGACCTCTAGAAATTGACATTTTAGATGTCTTTGATTATACTGTTGAAGCTTATTTAATGAAGTTTCTATTTAATAAAAAAAAATGTTTTGGTTATTACAATGAATTGTGGGGGTACCCCGGTGAAGTATGTGTGTAATTTTAAAAAAAGAGGAATATCCTTAACATCAGACTGTAGTGTATGGGTTTAAAATTTAATATTACAAGTTAAAGAAAAATGGAGACATACAGTGTGTGAAAGAATTACAAATTTATTGTAATCACCTTACTAGGCAAAAAAATAATATATTAAATTTCTATTGAAAAGTTGATATAGATACAAATAATGCAGTGAGTCAAAGGACTATATATAATGCAGTTGTATGAAAGATGGACATCAAGAGAAAGAGGGTTCTAATCAAGGGCCAAAAGCATAATCTTCTTTTTTTTTTTGTCGGTTTTGTAATGGGTATTTTGTAACAAAGTGGGCTGGGCAGGTTTTGGGTTTTTTTTATATGAAAAATTGTGTTTGGGTGTCTAGTAACATTATTGCAATGTCAGTTTTTTAAATTGTACAATTTTCGAAAGTTAGTTTGTGTTGGTATGTCTATTGAATATTGGGCTGTTTTATAGAATTTGGATTGCTTAGGGTTTTTATATTTTTTGGGATTTATGTTTGGGCTTAAATGTGAAGCTCCCTGTATTTTTCGGCCTGGTAAAGAGCCATCTCATATAATATAAAAGGGAATGCTAGCAACCTTCTCTCTAATATTCTCCTTTGGACCTTCTCATTTCTTGGCTTGATATGTGTCATTCTCTTTACAATTACAACAATGTTATTAATATATTATTCAAGTTAACTTTTGTTTTCCAAGTTTACCTTTATTAAATGTATTCAATTTATCCAAAAACATTTCACAACTTTCTTACCATCTTATTATTATTTTTTAAACGTCAATTATTTTTTTTAAAGAACATATCTACTTCTTCTTCCTCCATCAAGATTGATGGCTTGCTCAGTAGGATACAATTTCTTGAAATGGAGTCGTCAACTCCGTTGCTAATTGTTCATCCACAGCACACTCGATTGATTAGTCTGAACAAATGCGCCATGGCTCCGTCCTGCCTCATTATCAGTTCCCACAAAAAAATCCAGATATGGTTCCACTGCTAATTGTTCATGTATAACACTAGTCTGATTTGGGAACAAATGCGACATCAACTCCCCCTGAAAATTCCCGATTTGTTTCCAAATCATACAAATGAGGATCCATATTTTCCTTCATGACTTTGTCCCATTCTAGATGAACCCCTGTCTTCTTCACTCTCACAAAATCAACATCATCAGGCCTTACAAGAATGGAGACTCGGTCCCCGCCTTGCAAACGGATCACATCGTTTGACAATTGTCCCTGCCAAAGATAATCGTCTTCAGGTTCTTCAGGTTCACTGGAAGATTTTAAGGAGGCAAATGCTATCTTGGTGTGCAAAGCAGTTTGCTTGGTAAGATTTCTAACGATAATGCCAATACCACTGTTATAATCTTCAAGTTCGTCTGAAGAGTAAACGAAGCATATAGTCAACCCTTTTAAATCACGACCCATGATTCTTTGAGGAACTTCAAAGAAGACGATATTGTCCACATCACTGACGATTTTGAACCACTCAGGAATATCATAAATTCCATTCAAATAAATTCCACCAAATCCGCAAGAAGTCCATCTCTGCACACTAGAAGCAAGACAGTCTTATACATGCTTGCATATTTCATTACATGGGCCGCATCTGCAGCTGTGCCTTTGTGTGTGTGTGGGGAGGAGAGAAAAGAGAGAGGAAGAGAGAGAGAGAGAGAGAGAGAGAGACCTGTAGGATGTTGTTCCTAAAATCGGCAGTTAGATTGGTGCAGCCTTCCATATGAATCCTTGTCATGGAGTTTAATGACTTATCCAAGCCTGGAACCTCAATGAGTTTGAACGAATCACTTAGATACAATTCTCTCATATTCAACATTTTTGAAAAATCTGGAATTGTTTCCAAATTTGGGCAGTCATTTGCTTTCAGAACATACAAATTGGTTGGTAAATCTGGGATTGCACGAAGAAATCCGCATGCATTTACACACAAGACCTTGAGCTTTGAAAGACCAGCGAGTCTTGGTAGGCTAAGAAAGTAATTGCCTCCAAGAAGCAGATGTTCTAAGGAAATTAGGCTACATAGATCCTTAGGGATTGCATCCTCAGTTAACCTGCAGCCTGCAAGATATAACTCTATTAAAGAGTTTAAGCCATGTAACGAAAGGGGTAAAAGATGGAATTTCAAAATTCTCACCAGATAGAGATAAAATTCTCAACTTGTTCAATTTTACTATGGAAGATGGAATTTGTCTGATGGCAGTGTCATCTGCTTCCAAAATTGTCAATGATACCATGTCCCCCAAGCCATCAGCCAAGTTTCGAAATCCTGAACAACGATTAAGTAGAAGGGTTTTAATAGACTTGGATTTATAGAAATTCAGTGGGAGATCCTCTAGCCTTCTGCAGTCTTCAAGATTTACCAAAGAAAGTCTATCAAGATCCCCAATGGATGAGTGAACCTCAGACAAGTACGGACAATCTTTCAATATCAACTTCTTGAGATTTGGGAAATTTGAAAAGTCCGGTGATTTTTTTATGTTATAATCATATTTGACATGAATGATGTCATGATCATTGACCAGAATTTGAGATTGGCGTCGTTCATACTCACAAAGATGGTAATCAATCATATTTTCGTTCATAAATTTGTCCCATACCAGACTAACACCTGCTTTCTTCACCTTCGTACCCCACCAATTATATTTTCCCTCCTCTATTATTTCAATCAAGACTTTATCACCGTCTTGCAATTTGAGCTTGTCATTTGATAACTGTCCCTGCCAAAGATGATAACCTTTTTTTGGAGAAACGGGTTTGATCCTGGCGTCAAGCTCAGTACCCTTGGTCATGTTTTTAATGCTAATACGATAACCGTAAATGCCTGAAGAGCAAACGAAGGACAAAGTTAACCCTTTCAAACTACGACCAACACTTTGAGGCACGGTGAAATACACAATATTATCTTCATGGACACAGTGGAACCAATCAGGAATATCATATCCACTGAGAAAAATGCCACCATATCCGCAAGAAGTCCATCCCTATATCATGTAGAGCCAAATTTCTATAAGAAATACATTCTTATGCATGCATGTGTACAAGTGCGTTGTATCATACAACTTGTATGTGATAGAAAGAGAAAGATGTGTGTGTGTGTGTGTGTGTGAGAGAGAGAGAGAGAGAGAGAGAGAGAGAGAGAGAGAGAGAGAAAGACCTGTAGGATGTTGTTCCTAAAATCGGCAGTCAGATTGGTGCAGCCTTCCATATGAATCCTTGTCATGGAGTTTAATGACTTATCCAAGCCTGGAACCTCAGTGAGTTTGAATGAATCACAGAGATACAATTCTCTCATATTCGACATTTCAGAAAAATCTGGAATTGTTTCCAATTCTGGGCAACCATTTGCTTTCAGAACGTACAAATTCTTTGGTAAATCTGGAATTGCACGAAGTTCTCTACATGCATTTAAACACAAGACTTTGAGCTTTGAAAGACCAGCGAGACTTGGTAGGCTACGAAAGTAATTGTCTATAAGAAGCAGATGTTCTAAGGAAATTAGGCTACATAGATCCTTAGGGATTGCATCCTCAGTTAACCGCCAGCAGCCTGCAAGACATAACTCTATTAAAGAGTTTAAGCCATGTAACGAAAGGGGTAAAAGATGGAATTTCAAAATTCTCACCAGATAGAGATAAAATTCTCAACTTCTTCAAGTTTACTATGGAAGATGGAATTTGTCTGATGGCTGTCTTATCTGCTTCCAAGATTGTCAATGATACCATGTCCCCTAAGCCATCGGCCAAGTTTTGAAATCTTGAACAACCATTCAGTAGAAGAGTTTCAATAGACTTGGATTTATAGAAATTCAGTGGGAGATCCTCTAGATTGTTGCAGCTTTCAAGATTTACCAAAGAAAGTCTTCCAAGTTCCCCGATGTATGAATGAACCTTATACAACCACGTACAACCTTTCAATATCAACTTTTCGAGTTTTGGGAATTTTGAAAAGTCTGGTGATTTTGTCATGTCATGATCATCTTCGACATGAATGATATCATCATTGACCAGATTTTGAGATGGGCGTCGTTCATACGCACAAAGATGGTAATCAATCATATTTTCGTTCATAAATTTGTCCCATACCAGACTAACACCTGTTTTCTTCACCTTCACCCATTTGTCCACTATTATTTCAATCCAGACTTTATCACCGTCTTGCAATTTGAGCTCGTCATTTGATAACTGTCCCTGCCAAAGATAATAACCCTCAATTGGACAATCGGGTATGATCCTGGCTTCAAGCTCAGTACCCTTGGTCATGTTTTTAATGCTAATGCGAAAACCAAGACTGAACCGTTCTGAAGAGGAAGAGAAACCGAAGAACAAAGTTAGCCCTTTCAAATTACGACCATCACTTTGAGGCACAGTGAAATTCACAATATCATCGTCATGGACAGAGTCGAACATATCAGGAATATCATTTCCACTGAGAAAAATGCCACCATATCCGCAAGAAGTCCATCCCTATACCATGTAGAGCCAAATTTCTATAAGAAATACATTCTTATTGTATGTGATAGAAAGAGAAAGATGTATGTGTGTGCGTGAGAGAGAGAGAAGGATTGACCTGTAGGATGTTCTTCCTAAAATCGGCAGTGAGATTAGTGCACTTTTCCATATGAATCCTTGTCATGAAGTTTAATGACTTGTACAGGCCTGGAACCTCAGTGAGTTTGACAGAATCACGTAGATACAATTCTCTCATATTCGACATTTTTGAAAAATCTGGAATTGTTTCCAATTCTGGGCAGTCATTTGCTTTCAGAATGTACAAATTGGTTGGTAAATCTGAGACTGCAAGAAGTTTTCTGCATGCATTTAAACACAAGACCTTGAGCTTTGAAAGACCAGCGAGGCTTGGCAGGCTACAAAAATTATTGGCTCCAAGAAGCAGATGTTCTAAGGAAATTAGGCTACATAGATCCTTAGGGATTGCATCCTCAGTTAACCTGCAGCCTGCAAGACATAACTCTATTAAAGAGTTTAAGCCATGTAACGAAAGGGGTAAAAGATGGAATTTCAAAATTCTCACCAGATAGAGATAAAATTCTCAACTTGTTCAATTTTACTATGGAAGATGGAATTTGTCTGATGGCAGTGTCATCTGCTTCCAAAATTGTCAATGATACCATGTCCCCTAAGCCATCAGCCAAGTTTCGAAATCCTGAACAACGATTAAGTAGAAGGGTTTTAATAGACTTGGATTTATAGAAATTCAGTGGGAGATCCTCTAGGCTTCTGCAGTCTTCAAGATTTACCAAAGAAAGTCTAACAAGATCCCCGATGGATGAGTGAACCTCAGACAAACTCTTACAGTATTTCAATATCAATTCCTCGAGATTTGGGAGTTTTGAAAAGTTTGGTGATTTTGTTAGCTCAAAGGAACCACTGAGATTAAGGATTTTCAATTTCTGATGCAACTGTTACACAAAAACAAAATTAGAATGGAAATTAAAATCCAAAAGGAAGGTCTCTGATACAGAAATTAAACCAAAATGAAGAGAAGGAGAAGGAAAGAACCAACAACAACTAGGTTGAGATTATTATACCTTGCAATCCTTCCAAACTATTTTGAGTTTGCTACGCTGCAGGTCTAAAGCAACTAGTTTTGGTTGCACAGGAAAGTCATCTGGTATGGACTCTAAAGGAAAATATTTCCAGCACAACCAAATTAACTTTTTGGGAAAATCTTTGTACTCTCCAGTGAGCTGTACGTTGCTGAGGTGGAGTAACCTCAGTTTTTTCATGTTGGTAAATGCTTGTGCACTGAATCTAGTCAAATCTAGATCCCAACGCAAATCTCGATGCCATTCCCAATGCAAATCTCGATGAAATTCCCAACGCAAATCTCCATGCAAATTCCCACGCAAATCTAGATGAAAATCCAAATCTAGAGCAACTCCTTCAATTTCTTCAGTTCCCTGTTAACAAAAGATACCGAATTAGAAAAATGATTTACAAACATGAAAGTCCGTGTATGTATTAACCAAAAGGTATAATTAATAGTATTGGACTATGTTACGCCCTATAGTTTGTGTTTGCAATCAAATCACATATTTTTTGTTGGTTATGCCTAATTGAGCTTTGATCTGGATATAATTTAAGAAATGGCAACAGAGTCTAGTGAAGTGAAAAAGAGTCTAAACTTGCAGACTAAGGTCTCAGGTTCAAATTCATATGGCACCTTGGTAGTGTGGATGTGTACTAAACAAAACAAAAAAGAAATGGAAAAGAACATTTTAATTTATTATAAACTCAGGATACATATGCTTCTCTTGCATGGTGCATTCTAAAACTGTACTAGGAAAGTACTTACAGATTCATCGCTCAATACATCTGTTACGTCTTTACTTTTCCACAATCTACTAAATTTTTCAGGGTGACCGCGGGCATTTTCACAAACGATCTCTCTTCCCATGTCTCGAAGCAAATCATGCATCATCAGCTTGTTTTGCTCACTAACAGTTACAAGGCACCGTTCAATGAGGATAGGGATTCCTAGCGTTGCACAAAAGCCACATCCATCTAATATTTGTGTGACATAGTCCTTGTCCATTCCAATAAAGAAACAAGATATATCAAGGAATGTATTTCTGTCTGTACGGTCAGGTAGCCCGTCAAAGCTTATTCTCAGTATTTTTGTAATTGCTTCGTGAGGACTTCTTTCCAATCTCTCCAATTGGCTTTCCCACTGTAATGCGGTTCTTTTATTCAGAAAAGACCCTAAAACTTCAAGTGCTAATGGCAAACCTTGACAATAATGAATTACACGTTTTGAGAGGTCAAGGTATTCTTGATCAGGATAACCTCTTTTGAAGGCATGCCAACTAAAGAGCTCTAGAGCTTCTTCCTCATCCATTCCTTGAGCGGGATACGTGCTATCCACTCCAACTTGCTCTAGCAAATGTTTATCTCTTGTTGTTATAATAATTCTACTTCCAGGACCAAACCAATCACGTTTTCTAGCTATTGCTTTTAGTTGGTGTAGATCATCTGCATCGTCAATTATGACAAGTGCTCTTTTACAGGGAAGTCTTTCTCTTATCATCTCGATCCCTTTAGCAACCGAGTCAAACTTTATGTGGCCCTTGCTTTTCAAGATATCATTTAGAAGTTGTTTTTGCAAACCAACCAGACCAGTAATGGGTTGGTTTGCAATTACTTCCCTCACGTTTGCAAGGAAACTCCTACCTTCAAAGCTACCTTCAAATTTGTTATAAATGGCTTTGGCAAGCGTTGTTTTCCCAATGCCGCCCATCCCCAAAATACCAATCATGAGAACAACATCCTTAGAACCTGAATTTTCAATATCCAAGTGATTACTCAAAACCTTCACCCGAGAAGTAATTCCAACAAGGTGTTCAATGTCTAATTGGTGTTTGCTGTTCACCAAGTCATTAACCTTCCCCAGAATTTTCTTGATAAACTTTGCTTCATGCCTGGCAATTAAACACAGAAGCAGAATAAACTACAGGGTTAAATTGAATCCCTAACTTAATAATTTAGAATGACCAAATTATTTTCTTTTTTTATACTAAGATATAATTAACAATTAAGATTGGGATTTAACATCAAATGTTAAATGGATCTTACATTATCAAGTAAGAAAGAATGGATAGTTAAAATCAAACCAAACCAAACCATAGTTAAAAACATAGTTGGAAAAACAAAAACAAAAACAAAAAGGACAGAAAACATATGGTTGTCAAGTAAGGAGATGATAATCCGAGGAACAAGAAATTAGTAATTACCCATCAGCATTTTTAAGATCTTCCCCACACAAATCTGCAGCTTCAGTGAGAGCATTTCTCCATCGCTTTACCTTTTCTTTCTTATGTTTGCCCGCTTCATGTTTCTTAAATGCTTGTGCAAAACTACCAGTTTGTTTCCGGACATCTGAAGCATCAACATTATAGAACAATGGCATAACCTGTTGCCCCAATCTTTCTCTGAACTCCATGATCTTCACCAGCTCGTCAAGACACCAACTGGAATCGGCATAACTCTTGGAGAAGACAATTATGGAGATCATGGACCCGTTGATTGCCCGATCCAGTTGGGTTTTTATAAATTTCGCTCTCTCTAGCTCGTTGTCGTCAAGAAAGGTGCGGATTCCGGCATCAGATAATGCGGCGTGGAGGTGGCCTGTGAAGCCCTTGCGTGTGTCTTCACCTCTGAAGCTCAAGAACACTTGGTACTTACAACGTTTTGATGGGGATGAAGAGGAGGCATCCATTAATTGATACTGGTTCAGATCAGACCAACTACAAATTATGCCAAAGTTGGCCTTCCGATCCGACTTGAGCAGAAGAAGTTATTTCATAATTAATTATATTTTTCTGGGGAGTGGTTTGGCCTTGAGCAGCAGATGAATATGTTATTGAACTACCCAAAGTCAAGGTCAAGGTCCTCGAACGTTTCAGTCAACAGAAGCAGAAGTCCCTGCCAACACGTCATGGACGCGGAAGCTTAAGGGATAAAAATGGGTGGAATTATCATCTCAACAAAATAGAAGTCACTCTGTCATTTCATCAAACACCTGGAGTGCATCTGTGCAAGTGTCAATTTATATCCACAACTGGTCTCAGTGATTGAGTTAGAGAAGCTTACCATCACATTAATGCCTCTCTCATGAAGAAGAACCCAACGTAAATTGCTGATACTGTAAAAATGGTGGGTTGTATCATCTGAGCAATTGCAGAGATGCTAGATGACAAAATAATGAGATGGTCTGAAAGGAAAGAAAGCAATATTAATGAGAATTGCACTATTGTCATCATTAAAAGCTGATTGGCTTTGCAATTGTGAAACAATTGTTGGTTACCTTTTTGATTGAGCTACCATCGTCAGCTACTTTTGGAGCAAAGCGTGGGTATCGGCTGGACCCTTGAGAATACTTTCCTATTTTTCCCTTAAAACCCCAAAGCCAATTCCCTCTTTGACTTGAAGCCGCATGTTATTTCCTCTTGAGAATAGGTCTTGGTTTTTTTAATATTCCTATTTTTCATTTCCTTCCTAAATAAATATTATCTTCCTTATTTTTAAAGGATTCCCATGGCCTATAAATAAAAACTTTTAACCTAAGAGTCAGATAATCTTTTTTCCACCATCATCTTCTCTACCATATTTTCCCACCAACTTTCATACAACCAGAGAAATATAAGAGAGAGCCCAGAATTTGCTGCCTCATTATTTGAGGAACTTTCGAAGGTGTTCCTGTGGAGATTTTGAAGATCAAGTCCATCGGCCAAATTGGTTTTATGACAATAATTCTCTTGTTTATATTTTCTTCTGTCATGAACTAATTTCCCTTGCTAGGGCTACGATGTAGCCTAACCATGGATACTTAATTTTTATAGTTATATTAATTTCTGATTATTATCCCATGTTGAGTATTTGTTACTGTTCTTAATGATTTAAATATCTAGCTAATATTTAATTGATGATCCAAGCGGAGACCGAGAGGAGAGGTTGGGTAATTTTCTAGAAGCAACCAAAACCAGGGGTCACTTTTGAGTAAATTTAGGTTTTAGCCACACAAAAAATTTCAATTTTGAAAAAAACCAAAACTTTTCCAAAAAAGACAGAAAAACTACTCAACTTTTTAACAAAGGACATGCAAATGTAAAGGATTCCTCACGAAATCCAAAAATAAATAAGGGCATTTTTGTCCATTTTGGCTTCTTTTAAAAATATTTCTCTCTCCTTTGGCCTTTTCCAAAATGTCTTTGCTGCTGACTACATGATTTGCTGGACGGCTAAGATTGAAGGTCAGGAAAATTCAAAGAAGCTTAGGGGAAAAAGGCATGAAAGGAGAGAGAAGAGACAAGCACAATGTCCAATCAAAAAAGAAAAAAGAAAAAAAAAAATGTAAAACACGTCTTGTTTCAGTTTGTTTTCACAAAATCTCTTTTCATTGATTGTTTGTGACAGGACCCGACCCAAACTCCACTTTG